ACCAGATATAATTTTTTATATTTTTTTACTAGTGGGTTCAGGACACTATAGTTTGTTTATGTAAGTGAGGATAGCAAAATAAACTAAACACATATTATACACAAAAATTCTTCATACAGTGGACTACCAGTAAAACTGATAAAAATTTGAGACCAAAAATTATTCAGACACTTTGACCTGACCATGTTTTGCTTAAGTGTTTTTCTTTAATTGCTAATGCGACCGTTTTACACACCATACTGAACACAATTAAGCATTTCTTGGTAATTGGTTGACCTAAATTGCCATTATCTAATAGTGTAGTTAAATTTAACAGCTGACAGCTATTCAACCTAATTCATTACATACCTTTCTATCAAAGCTATCTGACATTATCAAGATGACATTTTTCTGACACAGTTTAACTGTGAGTTCTTGTCATATTTTATTACCGTTTTCTAAACTATAGCGAATAAACTGTGATAATGTGAGAAATGTTGAAGGTGTCTGAATAAATTTTGGATTGACTGTATAATACCTGGAGAAAACTATCAAGAAGGGTCTAACTGGCCTATACTGACCAGCACAACCTTGGCCCCTCACTATTGTTACTTAAAGGAATAGTTCACCCAAAAATGAAAATTCTGTCATTAATTACTCACCCTCATGTCATTCCAAACCCGTAAGACCTTCACTCATCTTCGAAACACAAATTAAGATATTTAGATGAAATCCAAGAGCTTTCTGACCCTGCATAGACAGCAACGCAACAACCACGTTCAAGGCCCAGAAAGGTTGTAAGGACATTGTTCAATTAGTCTAACACTGCCATCTGTAGTTGATTTACTATTATTACTAAATCAAGTATGAAAAAACAAGGATTACGTGAACACTTTGTCTGCAATAAAACATTCTGGTGCTCAAACCAATAAATGATATTGTGTATCAGAACACACTGGTAGCTTGCTTGAACACAGATATGCACCTCAGTAACTTGCTTGACTGTCTTTATGTGTAGCTGAGGCCTGTAGCACCACAGAGGACGGAGATGAGCCTTTGCTCTGCCCAACTGGTTACGAGTGCCACATTATCAAGCCGGGAAACCCATCAGCTGGGATCCCAAACCGAGGCCAGTGCATCAAACAGCGTGGAAACTCAGGTCTGAAGGGGCTCCTTTATCCAAACTTTCATTCATACATCCATCACGCCGTCCACTCACGCGTTATCCATTGTGCAGGTTATATACTATGGTGGTTATAAACATTGTTTCAGAAAACATCCAAGCAAGATTACATTCACACATTCAACAGTAGATTGCATAATTAATATATTTAAATAAAAATATTAAACACATTTAACTGTTCTCCCTCTAGATGGACGTAGCCTGAGACACAAGTCCTTCAAAGATTACAAGGATGATTTAGGTTAGTACGACCACCAATTTATTTTGTGTTTCAGCTGTAGGAAAGGGAAGAATAAAAGCAGCCATTATTAATAGAATGACAATTAATTTAATCTTTATTTTTCAGGAAGTAACTCCAACAATGCAGTGAGCTATGAGAAACATCAGCACAAGCATTTGGGCTGAGACAGGTGAGTTGAGTTTCACCACTGAATCCCAACTTTTTTTATGATTTAATGTATTAAAAGAGGCACTTTTTTCTCATTTAGGTTCCATTTTGGAGGACTGAAGTAACCAGTAACCGCTGACCCTTATACCTGAACCCCAACCATCAAATCCAACAGAACTGCACAAGCCTTTCTCTTCAGCTCAAACCAGAGATCGGTTCATATCTGGTGCTCTTTTTCTTAGGCGCTTAATGTGGAGTGACAGAAATGCAAAGCTAAAATTTCCTACCTCTTATAAAAGCCAAAAACAGACCACAGAAAGTATCAAAGAACTTATACAATAATATGTCTTTTACATATGCCTACTTTGGGTGAAAAGCAGAATTAACTAAGTGAGTTGTGTTAAAGGAAGATATTTTGTGTGGTTTTTATGCTGCTGAGTCTGAACTTTTTTTCCACTTTAAACACCAAAAACAGCTATGTATGCTAAATGCTCAGTTACTGTGTGGATTTAAATTTTGGTACAGAAATGCTCCATAAAGACTGAAATTACTTACAACACAATTATGTTTCTCCTTTAAAGTGTTTTATTTTTTTCCCCAAAATCATGTGTTTAGGTGCTTGCCTCAACTAGTTCAGAATTACCAAGCAACAGTTAAATCCCGTCTGTGCTCTATCACTGCAAGCTATTTGTTTTTCATATGGTGCTCCAATCAATAACTGTGGTTGTTGTTGTTTACTCATTGTGCAGATCTATGCTTTACTCTAGGCTACTGCTCTCTGATAAACTATACAAATCTGACGAGTGGGACAAACCACAATACAGCTTTCAGTAAAACAAAACATTTGAAACTGGTGCTGCATATACTGCCTTGTAATTCCAAATAAAACATTTGATAAAATATAGCCTATCTGTGTCACGTTCGGGTGTATCAGTCCCGGCCCGGAACTTTATATTTAACTACACATTTATGGGAATAAAACACGTCGTCAGATTTGAAAGGATTATTGCAGCTTTCCTTAGACAGTGTATTTAACGAACTCACAAACATGTGTATTTAACTAATGTCTTTTTTGCTAGTAGATAATTTAAATGTCTGAAAACTAAAATTTTATGTGGTTTAAAACTGAATTATTGTGATATAGGCTAGGCTATGAAAAGCACTGAGCGCGTCTCTGGCTCAGCGCCAGACAAAGCGCGAAAACACGTTTGAATTTAGCAGCGATGTTCTAAATACACCGGTGACCGTGCACATGGAATGGTAATCGACGCAGTTTGAGGGATTAGAGGGGGTCAAATTTAATCTGAGGTGGCACAAATCAGATCCGAGGAATACCCCTCGGTTGAAATCGCGTTTAAGATTGCTTTCCACGTTTAAAATCGCATTCTGGGGGTGGAGGGGTGGGTCATTCAGATCATTGCAGGTGGGCTTCAGAACGTCACGTGGGGCTAAGCCCCCCACCCCTAACGCCGGGCAGGCTACTGCTGTGTTTGATTTTAGCTAAAGAAAGAAATCATCTGAATTTATCCAGCAATCATTATTTACATACATTTAAAAAGGTAAAAATATAAATAGGATCTTCTGTAATAACTCTCATGAAACCACCTTTATTCAGTTATTTTGTTATCATACGTGTATTAATTAAAATATTTAGTGTTCAAGACCTTTCTCCCTTTTATGGGAAGTACTTTAAACTTCACTGATTATCATGAAGAAGATTTACTTTTATTTTTGACTCATAAAAGTTTGTTTAAAAAATTTAAGGTTTTGTTGACTTGAGTCAAAATCCCTTTAAAAAGTCTTTGCTGAAGTAAGGCTGTAGTGTACATAGACAGTTTTGAAATTTTTATTTTTTATTTTTTGGAAGAGCGTTATAAAGACCTATAATGCTGAGCCGTATTTGCCGTAAAGACTTTATATATAAGCGGGACTTTGGTAATATAGTATTTCGATTTTTATATTATTACCTCTCCCGGCACGTTTTGTTTATCTATTTTATTTTTTGTAGTTATTTCTATTATTTTATTTATTTATTTATTATTTTTTCACCCTTATTTTTTCACCCTGTTTGTAAGTTAATTGGTTTAAATACATTATAATGTGTAATATTTGCAACTGAACAAGAAGTTAAAGATAACGTTTCTATGTCTTTATATCTTTATATCTCACACACGTAACTTTGATTCTAAAGCTTATTTATGTAATTAAATTGTAGCTACATTGTAATTATAGTTTTAACTGCCATAATGCACTAATACAACAATATCGAAACAATATCTATTATAATGTTTGTTTTATGTTGGTGGACCTTTATTTTGAAATTCATTTTTGTAGACAGAAGGCAGAAGCTTCCGTTCCGGGTCAGGGGTAATCAACGTGGACGCAGCTCAACGTGTGCGCTACTTCTCTGAGTGGTAAAAAATCTGAAAGAGAATAATAAATAAGAAAAGAAAGTAAGGAAAGAGATTGTCATTTTATATTTGAATTCTGTTCTTCTCGGATCGTACGGCATTATGTATGTGCCACCTAAATCAGTAGTTAAACTAACAAGTTAACTAACGTTACTTCAGAAAGAAATTTTCAGAGACAAACTAATAACGTTACATGAGGCGCTTAGTCGCGCTGTCTAATAAATTAGCAAATTATGTTGTATACACAGTTACATTCGCAGTTGTATAAACATTTAGGCTCCTAATGTCGTTCAGGATCTCTGTAGTGACCAGTAACGTTACGCACTGATATTTGATCAAAATAGCAGATTCTTCTTTGACTAAAACAATGTTCTCATGATGTCTACAGATCTCAGATCAGCGATGGGGGAGTTTAAAGTTCACCGGGTTCGGTTCTTTGATTACATGCCGTCGGGAATCAGAGCCTTGGCTTTCAATCGAGATACTGAAAGAATGGCAGTGGCGAGGATGGACGGATCCGTGGAGATTTTCCACTGTTCAGACAGATTTTTCCAAGAAAAGGTACGTTCAGTCATATTTATCAAATAGATGCCCATAAGACAACTCTGTCTTAGTATTGGGGACCAAGAGCTACATTGATAAAATGGTTTTTGACCAGCAGACAGTTTGTTAAAGATGCTTAATTACATTTCCTATGTCCACAGATCATCCCTGGCAGAGAGCAGTGTGGGATTGAAGGTCTGTCCTGGGTTGGGGAGCGTCTGTTCAGTGCAGGACTAAACGGTGGAATAACGGAGTATGACCTGACAAACCAGAAAGTGAAATACACCATAGATGCCTATGGAGGGCCAATCTGGACTATTACAGGCAATCAACAAGGAACACACTTAGCGGTATGTTTACTATGTGTACAGTAACAAAAATCAGTCACAGTTAATGTATGAATGTCAATGCATTAGGTAATGAAATCAATTTAAAAACGAATGCCATTTATTTTAAGGTAAGATAATGCAAGCAAACACAAACAAAGAAGTATGCATAATTGTATTGACTGTGCACTTGCAAATCTAAAAATTATATATAAAAAAGTTTTTCCGCAAATTATATAGCACTAATGAAATAAAAGCCCACTTAATGGTATTTATAGAGAGTACATTTTCATGACTTTGTTTCTCTTATTTATCACTCTTCAAGTTCAACTGTTTGCATTTAAAATCTATTTAAATTATATTTTCATTTAATTGTAAATAAATATTACATTCAGTTGACATGTAAGTATGGTACATTATATTCCAGTCGTAAGTTCTGTTTAAATGTATGCTGAAGTGTACTTCAGAAAAAGAAGCTTGTTCAGATTTTGTGTTTTTACCATTTGTAGGTTGGTTGTGAAGACGGAACTGTGAAACTGTTTGAGGTGAATGAAGACAAAATACAGTTTGAGAGAAATCTGGATAGGCAAAAAAGTAAGATTGTGGTCATATTTGAAACTTTCATGTCATGATTTGTTATTGTATTTAAAAAAAAAAATTTAACATCTGATTACCTGTTCCATAGGCCGCATCGTCTCTCTGTCCTGGCACCCATCAGGCTCCAAAATTGCAGCTGGAATGATGGATATGATCCAGATATTTAATGTAGAGACAGGTAAACGGCATCATTCCTCCAGAATGTATTACTGTAGTCAGTTATGTAGAGTTAGTAGAAGAACTGGAAAATTTTAATGTAATCAAAGGTTTAATATGTTTTCTAGGCCACTCTATACACAGGATGCTGGCTGACAGAGGGGTCGGGACATCCCGCAGTAAGGAATGTGTGGTGTGGAGTGTGGTCTACCTCTCGGATGGGACAATCGTCAGTGGAGACTCTGTGGGAATGGTCAAATTGTGGGATGATCAAACTGGTACACTAATCAAAAGCCATAATGTCACAAAATGTGATGTGCTGGCATTATCAGTCTCTCAGGTGAGAAAAATGCTGCGGGTTTGCGAGCAAATGTTACACGTTTATGACTTTATTCACTACTGCTCAAAACTTTGGGGTCATTAAGATATTTTTTAAAGTTTTTGAAAGAAAGGCTGTATTTCTTTGATCAACTCTTTCACTGTACTCTCAAAGGCTGAATTTATTTGATCAAAAGTACTGTAAAAACAGTAAAACTGTGAAATATTATTACAGTTTATACAATTTTCTTTTTTAATATACTTTAAAATGTAATGTATTTTCTGTGATGGCAAAGCTGAATTCTCAGCAGCCATTACTTCAGTTTTCAGTGTCACATGATCCTTCAGAAATCATTCTAAAATGCTGATTTAGTGCTCGAGAAACATTTCTTTTCATTATCAGTGTTAAGAAAAGTTGTGCTGCTAAATATTTTTGTGGAAACAGTGTTAAAAAAAATTCCCAGAAATCTTTGATTAATAAAGTGTTTAAAAACGGCATTTATTTGAAATAGGAATGCTTTATTACATTAACAATATTTACTGCCAACTTTGATTAATGTGTCCTTGTTGAATAAAAGTGTTAATTTATTTCAAAAAATTAAATCCCCCACACATTTGAATGGTAGTGTACGCGTGTTTTCCAAACCTGAAATCTTTCTCTTAATAGAATACATGACATACTATAAGAATATGAACAGGATAACATCTTATCTTATTGTACCTCTTGAATGGCAGAATGAGGACAGCCTTGTTGCCGGGACTTCAGAAGGAACTGTGGTACAGTTCCAGTTCGTCTCTATGGTTTTGGGAAAGGATGACAACGAATGGGTCAGAACCAGAACATTTAAGAACCACACGCATGACATCAGAGCTGTGGCGGAGATCACGACGGCTGTGGTTTCAGGAGGTGAGTTTAAACAGAGCTGCCTCCATCACACAAATCATCATATGACTGAAGTATTTTTTGTTTAAAATAGTTTAAAAGAGCATTCTCGTCTCAGGTATGGATGCACAGCTGGTCGTGAAACCTTTGTTAGACAAGATCGAAGTGAGGTCAGCGGCCTCGGCATTGAGGAAGATTCACTTTCCACATGTGAGTATTGTGAAATTGTGACTTTCACATAGACAGCATGTTTGTAATTGATTGTTAATGGGAGGGACTTGTGCTCTGTTGCATTGCAGAGGAGACTGGTGTTCTGTGCGAGGAAGTCAGGCCTGATGCTTTTCCAGTACCCTGGTCATCTGGAGCTCTGGAGACTGGGAGAGAGTGAAGGAAAAGGTGAGGATGATATTCAGTGTGATCATTGATATAGAATACCAGTTAAACGTTTGGAAACTCCTAATCGTTTTTTACAATTAGTATTTTAGAAAAATAGTAAAGCAATTAAAAGCTATGAAATGGCATAAGTGGAAATAAGGAATTTAAACTACCATTCAAATGTTTTGGGTTAGTAAGGTTTTTTTTTTTGAGAGAAGTAATACTTTTATTCAGCAAGGAGCGCAATAAATTGATCAAAACTAACAGTTATTTATTATTATTACAAGACAATTATAATGATACAAAAGATTTATATTTTAAATAAATGCTGTTCTTTTGAACATTAATAAAAGAATCCTGAAAAATATGTATTATGTTTCTATACAAAAAATGTAAGTAGCTGTTTTCAACAATTATAATAATAAATGTTTCTTAAACACCAAATCAGCATATTAGAATGATTTCTGAAGGGTTATATGACACTGAAGATTGGAGTAATTCAGCTTTGCCATCAGAGGAACAAATGGCATTTTAAAATATAATAAAATAGAACATTTTATTTTAATAATATTTCACATTATTTCTGTTTTTGCTGTAATTTTATCAAATAATAGCAGCCTTTGTTCATGTTTAGCTTTGTCTTTGTTATACAGCATTCCCATGCTGAACATTTTTATTTCTGGTCCAACTCATGTTGGAATGTTTTATAAAACTAATATCAAGCAGAAAAGCATAAGCCTTTAATATTTTAAAAGATTTAAAATAATGAGAAACAAGTTTAGTCAAGTGTCTTGTCTTAGACTTTTGACTGATAACACATGAAATAATTTCTAGTGTTGACTTTAGTATGAAATGTCAAAATTTCTTTTGTTGTTAACTATTGGTCTTTTGTTGTCAGGCATACCAGGAAGCAGTTTATTTGTAAAAAGAAATCCAGAGAAGCTGCTTCATTTGAAAGTGAAGGTACAGTGCTTGTTTTGAAAATTGTCATTTTAAACATAAAAATCGATTAAAATAATTTCACAAAATACCTATATCGAAAAGTCATCTGTAAAACTTTATGCAGAATGTGGTGAGAGTTGTGACATTCATAGTGCTGCTCAAATGAATGAAGTGATTGAGCTGGGATGTTTATCTGCAGGGTGAGGATCACATCCGCTGCAGTGCCGTGTCTCCCTGTGGAGAATGGATTGTGTACTCCACAGCCAGCAGTCTACGGCTCTACAGGCTACACTGCGACAATAACAACGTCAGCATCACCAAGGTATTGCAGATTTCCACAGAGCTGCATGAAAACACATTACATGGTTTTGAAGCATGCTAAAGAAATGCATAGATTTTCATTGAATTTTGAAGAATCTGATGACCTCAGATAAAGGCCCCATGAAAACCGTTTAAATAGTAAACCAACGTTTTTTGTTTCTCTTCTTTCAGATATCCAAACTTCCAAAGGTACTCAGCTCAGCCAATCAGCTTTGCTTCTCCTCAGACTCCTCCCATTTGTTTTCCGCCTCCACACAGTCATCAGTGCACATAGTTTCTCTCAGCCAATCAGGATGCAAGTTTGTGGGCACCCTTAAACCTAAGTCAGGTGAGAGGACTATAGGGTTTGGTGTGAAAATGTTAGTTTTATAATTAATACTTTATTTTTCAAGGATGCATGAAGTTGATGAAAAATGCCAGGAAAGGCATTTACGTATAATGTTACAAAAGATTTCCATTTCAAATAAATGCTGTTCTTTTGAACTTTTATTCAATTAACGAATCCAGAAAAAAAAAAAAAAAGAATCACAGTTTCCAAAAAATATTAAGCAACACAACTGTTTTCAAAAACTGGAGTAATGATATTAAAATAGAGAACTGTTATTTTAAATTGCAGTAACATTTCACATTATTACTATTTTACTGTATTTTGATCAAATAAATGCAAAAGTATAAGAGAGTTCTTCCAAAAACTTTCCTAAAATCATTTGTCCTCCTCCAGGTTCCCATCAGGCCATTCACTTATTAGCTGCCAGTGAGGATGGCGAATGGTTGGCCTCTGCAAACAGTGACCACGAGGTTCACATCTACAACCTGCAGACACGGAAGGTGTGTTATATGACCGCAATGTTTATATAACCTTATAGAAACATTTGACAGAAGATGGATGTTAACAACGACCTCATACGTTTCAGGCTCATTGCACAGTTCCTGTATACAGCTCTGCTGTCACCGCCATGGGCATTCACGCAACAACAAACTGTCTGTTCATGATGTATGCAGATCAACAGGTAATCACTGAGCTTTTATGACAACCTCCATTGAATAGCGTAAGGGTGATGAAGTAGGTTTGATTGTATTTCTTGGTCTCATGTGTTCTTGTTCACCACAGATGTGCGAGTATTCCATAGAACAGAAACAGTACACGGATTGGAGCAGAACGGTGCAGAGGAAGGGCCTTCATCGCCTCTGGATGGAAAGAGACACACCGTGTCTCAATGTGATGTTCAATCCACAAAATCCATCCCATGTTATCCTGCATGATACGTACATGCTCTGCATCATTGACCAAAGCCTGGTGAGACAGACTCGGTCAAATTCAGAAAGCATTTGCCACTCTTATTTAAGTCTGAATGTCTGAAAAAACAAATAATTAAAAAGTGCTATTATTTTTCACAAAATTGTTTTTAAATGAAACTTTTCTTGATATTGTTATTTATTATGTCTGCTATGTCATTTATCTTTACAAGGTTAGGAGCCTAATATTTCTAATGTTGGTAGTTAGATTTTTTAAATGTATTTTATATATTTATTTATTTTAATGTGTGTTCCTTTTCTAGCCACTTCCTGATGACAAAACTCAATTTTACAATCAGCTGACTCTGAAGAGCCTCACAGAAGAACAGAGGAAATCTCACAGCCATGCTTTTAAAGTCTGCAAGACCTTCAAGGTGTGTGTGTGAGCCACATATACTTTTTTCCCCTCAGAAATTTGGATATAAAGTGTATTACTTTACTCGGTTTCTGTTTTTTAGGATATCCTGTGTGTTGAGCTGATCTCGGATCAGTCTCTGGTGGTGGTTGAGCGCCCTCTAGAGGACGTCGCCACTCAGTTGCCTGCACCCATCAAACAAAAGAAATTTGCCACATAAGGATGAACCTCTCCATCTGTATGTGTGTGGCCTCAGTGAGGAAGTGTGTTTTTATTAAGAGACTGAAAATTGTTCCCCGTTTCCCCCAATGTAAAAACTGCTGTGACCGTATTAAAAATAAATATTTACTGTACCTGCTGTGTTGGTCTTTGTCTAGAAAAGTTAAGTTTGGTATCTTCAGGGGGGTATTCCAAAAAGTAAGTTATGTGACATACTTTAATGTGTGTTCCTTTTCTAGCCACTTCCTGATGACAAAACTCAATTTTACAATCAGCTGACTCTGAAGAGCCTCACAGAAGAACAGAGGAAATCTCACAGCCATGCTTTTAAAGTCTGCAAGACCTTCAAGGTGTGTGTGTGAGCCACATATACTTTTTTCCCCTCAGAAATTTGGATATAAAGTGTATTACTTTACTCGGTTTCTGTTTTTTAGGATATCCTGTGTGTTGAGCTGATCTCGGATCAGTCTCTGGTGGTGGTTGAGCGCCCTCTAGAGGACGTCGCCACTCAGTTGCCTGCACCCATCAAACAAAAGAAATTTGCCACATAAGGATGAACCTCTCCATCTGTATGTGTGTGGCCTCAGTGAGGAAGTGTGTTTTTATTAAGAGACTGAAAATTGTTCCCCGTTTCCCCCAATGTAAAAACTGCTGTGACCGTATTAAAAATAAATATTTACTGTACCTGTATGGGATTACATTTGTGTCAATAAAAACGACTGAAAATTGTTCCCCGTTTCCCCCAATGTAAAAACTGCTGTGACCGTATTAAAAATAAATATTTACTGTACCTGCTGTGTTGGTCTTTGTCTAGAAAAGTTAAGTTTGGTATCTTCAGGGGGGTATTCCAAAAAGTAAGTTATGTGACATACCCGGGTATGTTTGAGGATAAGCGAGCGGATAACCTCAGCTTTCGGTTTCAAAATAGAGGTTACTTCTATTACATTTTATATTATCATCTCACACATGGATCGGCATTTTCTAAAATACATATCTGATATATTAGCATCAAACAAACAATATAATTCATATTCTCAAGGATTAAAGATTAAACGGGAAAAAAATGGTTGCACAACCATTAATTAGGTGGCGATATGCACTAAGCATGTAAACGACCACTGAATAAAAGAAGAAGAAAGAAACAGCATGGTGCGGTTTTTCTTAGCGTCTGTTTCCATAGTGACTCGTCGATTCGTCGCTCTGTTGAGAATGTCTTGAGTCTTAACCAGGAACATACTC